ATTTCCAGCTCGGCTTTAACGGCGTAAGCGGTGTCTACGGCAATAAAGAAGAAGAAAAAATCCCACTTTACTTGAGAAAAGCAGCACAATTTGAAAATAGAGAGCTTTCTTTTTTTTGTTGGATAATTTTCTTAGAGCAAAAATTTAAACATCAGAGGTGTCTGCAAAAAATTAACCGGATAAATTGCGAACACCCTAGTATATACATATATGCGCGTACTTTTGTTGGCTTAACAGAGTTCCGAGAAAGCCGTTCCCATGAACATTAGATATGCTTGACGTAAGTTGAAAATTATATACACTTAACGTTGGTGCTTGTCTCCGCTTTCATGCTGATCGCTGTGAAGGACATGCAACTAAATATTGGTTAAGAAAATAGATACTATATCAAATAAATTTACAGAAACACAGCGCCGGCTATTTGCAATTTGAGCAGAGTTGCATTTAACACAAGGCGTGGCGCGCTCAATTTTAAAGTGAATGTGAGGCAAAAGAGACATAATTAAATTGTTGTTGTAATTTTATCAAATGTTGTAATTCCAAATGGAAAATTGTACAATTATATGAAAGTATATATACTTTGTAAGGCAAAAATTCTAAAATTTAAAAATTTAAACAGTTGCACGGTTGTTTACATGCACTCTTGAATATTTGTGGCCAGACAGTGGATTTAGTATGGGCTTTGTATTATTAATTAGAATTCATTGTTCTTGCTTCCACGAATTTGGCTTGCTGCTACATTTGTTTGTACAATCACCAATCGATTTTCAATTATTACTCATTTAATGCATATTAAGTTCTGTGACCTAAAAAAATAGATTGAATGAAAGCAAGACATTGCTTTGCACATGACATTTTGTTGTGGTTATTGGTTGTTGTTGTTTTGCAATTGAGCAAAGACTACTCATTCATGTGCCGTCACATCGATTAGGGTTTACATATTTACAGATGTACATATGTATGTGCTAGCAAGGTGAACTGACCTGAATCTTTGTGACAGCGAAATGCGCTCGTCCATTTTGCAATTAGCGTTAAATGTTTTGCATTATTGTGGCTTGTTGTTGTTGTTGGTTAGCAACATGAAGGAGAAAGAACCATTCCTAAAGTTACCGTTAAACATATGTCTCAGGTCAATTTGGTGCAAGCGAGTATGGCAGGTGGAAAACGCTGCCTTTACAATTATTATGTTTTCCTAATTGATTTTGTTTAGTCTTCGAGGCTTTGAGGAATGCGAATTTATGAACTATCACTAATAAATTTTAAATATTTTGCAAACTATTTTTTATGTACCAAGTTATAAAGTTTTTATAGTTTTTATGTGGTAAGTGTTCATAATAAACAATTTTAATGCCATGAGGCGACCACATGGCGTATGAGTAATATTATTGGTGCAAAGAAATTGTTTCTTAAATTTATAACATATGGTGGTCATGTCATAAACTGCAAAATTTTTTTAGTTATTTTATGTGAATTCAAGTAGTTGCCACCTATAAGAAAATGCATATTGAATAATCATTAAATGACCGCCTTTAAAAAGAAGCTTTAAGTGAATTTTGCGAAAATCTTCAATTCAAAAATATTTTGTTATAGACTTGCCAACTATCAAGAAAAGTTAAATTTAGAAAATTATTAAAAAATATGCGCCATACATAAGGCGTTCATAGAGGTTTCCTGAAAGTGATACATTTCGGCCTAGAGTTGCCAACTACAATAAATTTGATGAAAATGTTACAAATTATGACGTTACGTGTTATGTTACAACGTTAATTATTTGGAAACTTTTAAAGAAGTAACTTGCAGAAAAGAAATCAAGTCTCATGCGAAAATCTTCATATCCATTTGAAATTGAAGAACTTTTAATTAAATAATTTTTCAGACACCACATGGCGTAGCATTATTAGTGTTAAGAAATTGTAGCTGAAGTTTATAGCACATAGTGGTCATGTCATAAACAGCAAGGTATTCTGAAAATATTTTATTATATATTTTATGTGAGTTTGAGTAGTTGCCACCGTTAAGAAAATGCATATTGAGAAATTATAAAATGACCGCCTTTAAAAAGCTGCTTTCGGTGAATACTGGGAAATTTTCCATTATAAAACTAGTTTGTTATTTAGTTGCCAACTAGCATAAAAATTAAATTTCGAAAAATTTTACAAAATATGTGTCCATACATAAGACGTTTAATAGAGACTTCCAGAAAATATTGCATTTTGGCCTAGAGTTGCCAACTACTGTAAACTTGTTGAGAATGTTACAAATTACTGCATTTAACATAACTTTAACGAAATCTTTTTGGTTTTTTAATTTCAAAGAATCCAGTTCTGAGTTATAGTGGCCATCGAGAAACATAGTTTTTGAAATTAGCTCCTAAAGGTCAGCTGTAGTTCCTTTCCAAACAAACATATTCACTAATACCAAATTTTAAAATACAGTAAAAAGATACCAAAATATATGTACAAATTTTGGATAAACAGAATAAATAAATTTAAAAGTTTTCTCAGAAAAAATCGCTTTTTTCGGCCTTATAACTGTATATAACCCCAAAATATCGCTTATTGCTGTTTGAAGGTTTTTCATTAAATTATTTTTCCTTTTATTTTTGTTATTTTATTTTTCCAATGGTTTACATTGTACCTTAATCTGTTAGAAAATATATGGAGAAAAATGTTACTCATACGCCGTGTGGAAGACAATATATACATCTTAGGTGTCAAAAAGGTCTTGGGATTTTTGGGGAATTTTTATTGAATTTTCAATTGTTCATAAAATCACTCACGCCCAGCTCTTGATCGATGCTACGGCTGCTGAAATATAGAATAAATGGAAAGTTTATTGTTCTTGGCAAAATTTAAAACGATAAAAGGATAGAGGTTCTAACTGGACATGGTTCCATGGGCATTTAGGCCATATAAGACGAATTTTTCAACCACTGCTGAGGAGTTCTGGGCATCATGTCCAAGTGGCATTACTCGTGGCTCATTTAATCTAAACTAAATTATGATACAAGTTGCATTTTCATAGAATTAGGCAGGATATTCTTATTCATTGGCATTTTAACACACCCTTTATAATGCAATCAAAATATCCACTAATTGCAAAAAAATAAGCGATGAGTGTTCGCGAATGACCAATTTTACCAACCAAAAAATCATTATGTTTTACATGTTTTTAACTGTCATGCCACCCGCAGCGTGTGCTCTGTACTCATACCAATAAGCCGCTAGCTTTTGTTATTGTATTCTTGTATATCAACATTTATTTATGCCATGTGCACAGCCTTATCTGCACATTTGGTTGTTGAAAAGCTGTTGGCTAGTGACAGAATTGTGGCAAGGAAAACAACGGCAAATGACTTACCAATCAAGCCACAAGTCAGTCGCGTCATCGTGCAACGAAAACTTGTCAATCATGTTTGTTAGCAGCTTTTGTGTTTGCACGACCGACAATTGCTGAAGTGACAATTTCGACTGACACAAATTATAGATTCGGAAAGAAATGCTTCTTTCCTAAACTTTTCAAAATTTGAAATGAGAAAGCATTTTTTATATACAAATCTGGGTATTATATATTCTTCAACCATTAACGGTAAAGGCGTTATATTTTATATATGTATGTGTCTTACGAAAAGACGGTGTGTTATATTTGCGGCAGTTTGGGTAATAATTCAGTGGTTATTGTCGTCAAAGGTCATATAAAAATTATTGGGACACAATTTCATTTCAAATTGTAAATCTTATAAACGTGTAATTATTATAAGTAGCTCTCATTTAGCCAAATTCAATGAAATTCACTGTCAAAATAAGGGGAGTGAGTGCAAAGTTAGTTTTTGACATTAAGTGGCAAACTAAACTTTCAACTTGCTATTAGATGAATAATTCTCTTGTTATTGTAGAAAGGCTTATTATAGAAATAATTTGTTTGACATTTTAGTGTCAAAAGATAGAAAAATTTGGCATAATGATAATCCTACATAATTCTAGCCCTACCGTTTCTAATATTTTTGAAATTTTTTTAAATATTACATGATCAAATTTGACTCGAACTTATCCATTTGAACGAAGCTCGAAGAATTTTTAGTTTAAACCACTTTTATGTTCGTGCGAAATTTTATTCCATATGTCAATTATTTTATGATTACAGTTGTTTTTTCCTAAGATAAAAGTTTGTGCGGCTATTTTTTCATTGGACAAAAATTAAATTACGACTTTGATTGAATGCTCTTTACGAATTTATTTACGAACACAAGTATTTGAGTGTCACTAAAAATTCAGTAAAGATCGAGAAATCAGCCAAAACTTCCGTCTGGGAGCTGTTAATAAAAATAACATTGAAAAGGTTAATGAAACAGTGCTTGAAAATCGTAGTGTGGGCATCAGAGAGATAGCAGAGGATCTCTTATAGAATGACTCACCACATTTCAATCAATATTTTGACTATCGAAATCTAGCGACTGTTTTGCTTTTTCTGTTTTCGAAATTGAAAAATCCGGCGAACTGCCGCCTTGTTGAGGCTTATAACAAGTGTACGAAAATTTTTATTAACCATTGGTATTGGAAAATGTATATTAAAATACATAAACAAGTTGTCATTCTGGTTGAAATTTTGTCAGAAAATACATAATAATCTTTTCGATTCGATCCTTAAAAATATCGGCAGTAATCGGTTCGTGAATAATGGCGATCTTAAGTATTATTTCATAGTCATATCAAAAAAGCATTTGCGAGATATAAATTAACTGAAATAAGCTTGGTAACTGAAAGAGTGTAACAATATTCACTTAGTCTTGAATTAATATAAAGTCATCGATTTAGTGTCTCGAATACACAAATATTTGAAATTCATTTAGGTCGCACTGTGTTTGGTTTATTTGTTCAAAAATAAATACATATATACTATATATCACATTATACCTGTCTGACATCGCTAAGACTACATATACATATGAAATAAATTTTTTATATTTTATTCCATAAATTCCGTCATTTTGGTAAACTTACAGGCAAGCAGATATTTTTCTGAAAGTATAAAAAGAAAACAAATACTTTTAGTCAAAATTATTAATTAAATTTTGCAAATAACCAAAACTATAAATTAGCTATAATAAATATAATATATATGGATTATGTCTAAATAAACCGCTTGTTTATGCCCACCAAGTTATTTTTCCATAAATTCTAGCAGAGAGTCTCTTCAGGCGGAACAAAAGAATACTTAGTTTATTTACTTTCAAATCTATTAAAAATCCATTAATCCACCGTAAAATAGGCAGCAAGTATAGGAAGAAAAATATATGGAAAGTTGTTTTTGGCACTCAGTAATGCCGTGAAGCATTTCATAAAATTGTTAGACAGACAGGGTTGCAGCAAGCGTTGGAAGTGCGAACAATAATGTATTCTGTAGCTGTTTTGTTTATCAAATGGTGGGAATATGCATGAATGAGCAGCCGTAGAAGCTGGTGTGTAAGGGCTGATTGTCTGTGGCAAAAAGTGAACTGCTATTGATATATATAAGTATGTGTAGTATATACACATTTAACACAAGCAGATGGTACTCTGATCAAAAAGTAAGAAATTTGGTTATAAAATGTAAACCTTTTTTTATTCTTCCAAATCAACTTTCCAAAGTACTCCAATAAAACATATTTTTGCAAAGTATTTTTTTATTCCTTGAAACAGTTAGGAAGCCACTTTCTGGTATATGAAGATCTTCTTCTATACGATTTTTAGCTCCACAACCATGGCAAAAAGGCGTCAACGCATTGACATTTTGAGTTTGTTGAATATACAGGAAACACAGCCAAGGAGATAGGGAGCCAAGTCAAGTGAATAAGGTGGTTGCGGAACGATGTGAGTCGAGTTTTTAGCAAAAAAGTCGCAAATAACCAATGCATTATGACATGATGCATTATCGTGAAGAAAGAAACAAGTGGTGTTGGCCCACAATTTCGTTCGTTAGACAATTAGTTCGATGCATAACGCTAAAATAATATTCTTCCTTGACAATTTCGACCGTCAGAAGGAGTTCATAGCACACAATTATAATCCCCTCTTCTTACTTTCAGATCATGAAGTATCCGGAGCCAAAAAAAATCTTTTTAGCAGTCTACTGCCAACACGACAATCGTTCACTAACACACTCAGTCATCAGTTTATAGAACTCTGCCGCAAGATAAATTCGCTATCGCTTAGAACATTTTCGTAGGAGATAACTTTCAAAATTCCAGCCAAGTCGGTTTTATCTTACCTATACATTGCTTGAAATATTGGGGATCAGAAACCGTGTGACATTTTGGGTGACGCGTTTGCTTAATTAGACAACAAGGTCCGCTGTGAGACTCCGTCACAGCAGTGATTGATTCTGTTTAAGTTTCATTCGATGGAATATTCAATTCGTTTCATGACGATCGATGAATCATAGCAGACATCAAAAATAAGGATCAGTTCTAGTGGAAAAGTACTTTTCTATTGTTGATGACCACTTTTTGGGATTTATATCGAATTCTTGGGCCGTTTCGACAATGAATATCAGAGAAAAACCTCCTCTTCGCGAAAGAAATAATGTTCTTCCATCTTGACAACTCTATCATGACCACGGCCAAGCTGACTGAACTCAGCTGCCAACTGTTTTCCCATCATCGATGTTCTCTAGATTACATCCAAACGTGAAAAAATCAGACATTAAGTCACTCGTCATTACTAAAAAGATAGTCACTGAGGTTTACTTTGCAGATCACCAGAAAACGTATTTCCAAACAGGTTAAAGATGATAGAAAAATCGCTGGATCAAATATATAGAGGTGAAAGGAGACTAAGTTGAGAAATATAGCCATTTTTCAGCATTTTAAACTCTCTTTGGAATAATTATTGGGCCTATGTATATTAACGAGGGATGCAAGTAGAGGGACTTTTTTCAACAACATTTTTTCGACAGATTACGCGTGAGTCGTATGCAACTGTCATGATAATTTTGTATAGTATTGTTTGATTTATGTCATGGAAAGACATACTCTTAAACAATAATTACAAATCCTTCACCTGTTTCGCTCAACTTATGGTCAACACAATCGGTCTACTCAGCGTACTGTCCGCAACACTATCACCCATCTTGAGAACCAGCGTTCATTATTGGATAATATTCGACCGATTAGACCACGACCCTCGGAATCATCGGTCCATATTTCTTTAAAAATAATGCCGGTGAAAACATAATGTCAATGGCGACTCGCCATGATAATTGACTATTTGATGCCAAAAAATTAAGCGCGTGTTCTCGGCCATATTTAATTTCAATGGGACAGCACAACTTCCCACACATCGTATCAATCAATGGATTTAAAAAGAGAACACTTCGGTGAGAAGATTATTTCAATTTTTGGGTCGGTCGATTAGCCACCAAGATCATATGATATCAAATCTTAGATTTAAGCCTTGGAGTATAAGATTACACGCGTGTCATTCGCCAGTTACCAGTCAAAATGCTCGAATGAGTCATCGAAAATTGGACTCGAGGGATGGACCATGTGAGTCGTACCCGCGGCCAACATTTGATAGATGTAATCTCTAAAAAGTAAGTACCGAACAATGTTCTTTCCAGCTGTAATAAATATTCCCCAATAAATTTGATGTTTCTTGATGTTTGAATTTAATTTTTTTAGTTTTAAAACATTTTCACTAAAAAATCGAACGGACTGCGGTGACCTCATTTTCTTGGTATGGCAAACGACATGGTTTAGAGCGCTGAAAAGCACCAAATATTGAACAAAACAATAAGAGAAAGTGGAATACTTTATTGAATCAAGGTCATTAACCGGTCGATGCACGAAAACTATTTATTATAACTATAAATATAAGAAAAGTAGGCAATGTAATTATAACCTTCAAACATTACTTGCTTCAAGTTGAGCAACCAACCAATGGACAATTTTTGACTTTTCCTGAGATCTTATTTGTGATATAACTAAAAATGTTAGCAATAAACGTAAGTAATTGCGGTACAATAGATTGGGAAAGAATTACAATCAGAATTAGCGTTTCTCATAACATACAAAGTTATGTAAGCGGAGTGAGGACTTAAGCACAACCACCACCTTAATCACAAGGAATCATAGAATCATAAGGAAGTTACTTTTTGCTTCGTGGACGTAAAACCGAATTTTTAATGAATTATTTTCGTATTTGTGTTTAAGCAGGAGGACGCCGCTTATCGAATTGCGTGTCTAACACGTATTAATGCGTGGTTTTATTGCAAATACTTGAGTGCCGACGTCAGCAGTTGTGAGTGGCGCAATGGCAAATTCATGGTCGGGTGGCAACAGCAGACTTTGCGTATCAGGCAGACCATTGCCGTTAACATACGATCGAAAACAATACACACAGGAAAAATATGAATGACGTTGGAGACCGCTAAAATGTGACCAAGCATGTGCAGGCGTTTGTGCGCGCTCAGACGGCGGAAGGGTGACTTCAAGCACGTGCCTTGTAATTTCTTCTTCTTGTTTTGTTTTGCTTGCTCTCATATTTTATTTTTATCTTTCTTGTAATTTTAATCCTTGCCAACCGCCTTTCTTCCTACGTTAATATATGTGCGTTTTCCTTCGCTTTTTTATCATTTGGCGTATATTTCACGCAACCTCAAATTCTTATATATAACATAAAAAATAAAACAATGCGTTTTTTATAAGCAGCACTATGTGCTTCTGTTGNTTGGTCAGCTAAAAGGGTTTGCGCGTGTTTCGCTCACTTAAGAATTTAGCGGATGCGCGTTTAGCGCAGTTGCACTTTTGGTTGTAATAGGACTCCAAAGTATGCAAACGGTTTGTATGTTTCTAGCATATAATGTGGGAATGGAATTTATGTAGAAGTTCATAAAATGTTGTGTTAACTTATATATATGTAATTATAAATATATATTTATTGTAATTTTACACCGAGTTGTTACTGTTTTTGGACTTTTCTCAATCGTGCGCGTGCGAAATTGTTGTGGCGGCAAAACTCAGCTTTACAGCGAATGCTTCCTTATTGCTTTCATATTGTAGCTATTTGAATGGATATTCATGAACATAAGGATGGTCATTAATAAATAAATCAAATTTTATTTATTTCATTTACACTTTTCAATCGTGATTACTACTAGCAAAGATTCCCATAGAAATTTTGGTTACCTTTAGAGACTCTTAAGGCTTATATGAAAGCCTCTATTAATCTTTTTCATGAGTTCATTTAGAAAAGAAGGTGACTTCAGCAAGTCGTGGAATTCGAGAGAAATTATAGAACCAGATTTGAATCTATATACACATTTATATAAATTTTTAGGATTTCCTTATAATATTCGAAAATTCGCGAACTTTCAGGAAAAAGTAAAAGTTTTGACCCAAAAATGAGCGGTAAATGATTTGTAAATAAAATTCGCAATGAAAATCTCATTCTAATGTCATCAAGCTAAGCTGACAAGGCGACATAGGAAAGAACACACTAGAAATAAAACACATCGAATTTTTCTCCAGTTTAAAAGACTGGATCAATGGTTGTGAGATCGACAGTTTAAACAACGAAATTGGTATATCCACTGACGCATCAAAGGGTGAAATAGGAACGCGAGCAGGCTTCTCCTGCAGTAACTCATACACAGACGGTAGCTTCAAACGAAATAACTGCATTTCTGTCTTTCAAGCCGAAATTGTGTACTTTACAGAAGGAAGGCAATTAAAAGCATCCATTTCTCAAACAATAACTAGACTTTTAGTAGGTAACTCGGTTAATATCAGTTGGGTAATAAGTCATAAGTATATGAATAATAAGAAAAGAAAAGTTGAAAACTGGAGGCACAACTCAACTAAATCGCCCTGGCTCCTTGAATTTTTATTTGAAGAAATGAACCCTAGGGGAACACTTCAGTTCTTGGATCATAAACAACACATTGCATACCACAAAGATACTTTGGTGACAGGACAAAAAGCTCCTACTGCCAGGCAAAAGGGAGCTTAGTAACATTATAACATTGCAGGAGTCATCATCAA